TGGCCAGCCAGCCAGACCTAAGGTGTGAAATCCAGAGTGATGACAGACTGCCTCTCAAAGAATAAGGAGGGAAGCATTCCTGAGGAGTGACGGAGCCTCAGGTTGTCCTCTGACTTCACACACATGCTTCTTTCTCTCTCTCTCTCTCTCTCTCTCTCTCACATACACACACACACACACATACACACACGCACACAAACTTTAAAGGAAAGAAAAATATCACATAAATGTTTTCATACTTATGTATTTTGTAGGTTTACATACCTATAACTATTCATGTATACACAAATAAGTATTTATATGTCTACAAATGTGCTTTCCAGGCACTTCTCAGAAAAGCATATTCCTTTTAGTTGTCAGTTTTATAGTTAGCCATGGTACTGAAATAACCTTTGCTGTGGGAATCCAGAACTTAGGCTCGGCGCTGTCTCTTAATTGGCTCCTGTCTGCACGTGCATCTCTCTCTTCTCTCACTTGAAGCCTGTCCTTGAATCTATAGTAAAACATTTTTTAAACAAGCTCCAACTTTGCTTCAAAAACAAAAGAACTAATACTTTTGTCAGTAACAGCCTCGCGAGGAATTTGAGGGAATGGATAGAGAGTTCATGACAAAAATTGGGGCACTTTTCCAGTCACCAGCATGAGCAATTTGTCAAAGAAGCTTGCCCAGAAGTGACATCATAAAATGACATTTCCCAGAAAAATACGTGCTGAAATATTTCCAGAAATCTGCTTGACTAGCACCATGCACGTTATGAAATAGGTGTTGCCGACTGGAGGCTCTGGCTCTGGGGTACCTCAGGAGTGTGGGAAGAAGCTGCAGGCAGATTTCTGAAGTTCTTGGAGCACCTAGCATTTAGATGGTATTGACGAGGAAGAAACACAGTTGCCAGAAAATTATTTTGTTTTCTTGGGGTAGATACAACAGAATATTCAACTGTTTAACCCAAGAAAATAATCCCACTCTATAGATTTTCCAATTACAGGATGGTATTAGGGAAAATCCATCACCCTCAAATGGAAGAAAAGTTACACTTTATGTATTCACTTTGAAGAGAGGGCATACATGTGGAAGTCAGAGAAACCTAGGACATCAGGGTTGGCAGCAAGTACTTCGAACACTGAACTGCTCACCAGCCCCTGGAGAATTTAAAGTATACCATCATTTCCAGAGATTGCACCTTTTGTAAAGGGGAGGGGGGAGTCAGGGGTAAGAATGTAGCAACTTACGGTCAGTTACAATTAGTTGTTACTTATTTACCAAACCATTCTGATTGAAAGGCAATATGATTAGATACTGTATCAAATCTTACTGTCTCCAGCCCCTTTCTGTTACTCTATAGAAGTGGACCTAGCTTTCCTTGCTGACAAACGTGTGTATGAAAAGCATTGAACTCACTTAAATTAATAAGAACTTCCCTTTTTGGAGAAGGGTTTGCTGGCGATTAAACCCTAGGTCGCAGGTATGCTCAGCACATGTTCTATCACCAAGTTGCACACCCAGCAAACTAACACTCTTCCCAATTAAAGACGAGCAGAGTAACTCGGTGTGGCCTTGTAAGAGCCTCAGACTTTGACCCTGCCCTTCCAGTCTCCAACTTTTGCCCCCATGTCATCACCCTGCTTGGCCACTAGACTTCCCTAACACTCATGTTTCGTAGCATAGGAGGTGTGGATTTCTGATCCCAAGAATTCTGTTTAAAAAGGAGTAAAAAGAACTGGGGAGACAGCTTGGTTGGTAAAGTGCTTGCTGTACAAGAGTGAGGACCTAAGTTTGAACCCAGAACCTACATAAAAAGCAGGGTATAGTGATATGTGCTTGGAATCCCAGCCCCAGGGAGACAGAGACAGGAGGCTCCCTGGGGCTCCTGGCCAGCCAGCCTAGCCTACTTGTGGAGCTCCAGGCCAATAAGAGACCCTGTCTCAAAAAAGAAGACAGATGTTGTAATGACACTAGAGGTTCATCTGTAGCACACGTCACGCATGCACGCACACACACGTACACACACGTGCACACACACACACACACACACACACACACAGAGCCGAACCAGGTTTCCCTCTCCCCAGACACTAACAGTGGTCCTCCTCGCAGCACCTTGCAGGCTGTTTCTCTGTTCTACAGCCTGGATGAAGTTGGGGTAACTTTTTTTTAATATTTTTAAAAATTTATTTATTTTTACACCCACTTCCCAGATAGCACCCTCCCATAGCTTCCCTCCCCCAGCTAGAGCCCTTATACGCTGATATCCCTGTTACTGTCTGATGTGTTGTTGGCATCCCCAGACATTCCCCACTACTTGCCCTTCTGGTGAATCTGGTCTAGTCAGCCTATCTAGAGATCTTTGTTTTAGGAGGGTCAACTGTTCCTCATCTAGTGGTAATCAGTTGTCAATATTCCTTTGGATAAGATTGGGGTCTGCTGTTCATTTTCCCAGTTCTATGCTGGGTTACTATCTGGGAATCCCTTTGGCTACCCTGGCCAACAACTCAAAAGAGGGTATTGCCTGTCTGGCAGTGCATAGCTCTGCATTTGTGGGGAAGTGCCTCATGATTGCAGGCAACCCAGGTGTGTACAAAGGGTGTGATAAAAGCTGAAATTCCTCCCCTGTGCCAAGGGGCAGTAGTGTGGGGACCCTGATGAACTGCAGAGCTTCTGCCCCAGCCGAGTGAGACTGCTGTCACCTTTGTCCTATTCTTGCAGTACAGGAAAGAGGACCCAGTGCTTCTAGAACATTGCATTCTTCAGCCAAAGATTGGGGCCAGGGAGTTGTTTGTTGTTTTATTGAGAGAGCTCAGGAAATTTCCAATACGGGCTTCATTTTAAAAACCTTCAGAAAATTTCAGTTACCTTAGTGCCCTCGCCCACTCCTTTCTACCAAAGACCTTGAAGTCAAGTTCAGGCGTTGCACCATTTCACTTTTAAATCATATTACCATCGGTACATACCACTTAACAAAATAGTATCTTCAAAACAGAGACTTAAGTTTTCCTCAGTTGTACGGACAATGAAGGTTTTGTTTCTTTATTGTCATGGAAATTCAGACCTGGTCCGAATAAATTATTTGGCTAATGTGTCTTCAATATCTTTGAATCCATAGATTTTCCTTCAGCTTCATGTTGTCTGCTGGGGTCATTTTCCACCCTGTAGGCTGTTCCACACATCAGTTTGGCTGACTGCATTCTTCTGGGGTTGCCTACTATGTTCTGCTGTCCTCCGAGTTTCCCGAAAGGATACACACAGGCTCCTTGCCTCAACCTCCTGCATACTGGAATTACAGGCACTCAGCATCTGGCTGTCTCTTTTTGTGGTCATCTTAGCCCAAATCCTGGCCTTTACAGATATCTCTGATATTTAAAGACACCATGCCTCCCTGCCCCCAACACACATGTATCTTGGGCTAGGTGTAACCCATGAGACTCCATTTGGAGAATTCTGATCTGTTAAAGTTAAGCTGGAGCCCTGCCCATGCCTGGAACAATCTGATTCATTTTAAGTAATTGACTCCTACTGAGCCCATCCTGACACATGGACATAATCTTGCCAGATCTCCCATTTGGGTTTGTGTTATCACACGCCTTGTCATTCTGAGTGCAGAGAGGCTTTCCTCCAGGTTGGGTGGAGAGTATCCTTACAGTCAGTATTATTCATTTGCCTCCAATGTTTCATGTCCTCCCATAAGGCAAATAATGTAAATTCAAGATCAATGTGTGTGTTGCCTTTTAGAATAAGACATTCCTTCCCAGAAGTGTTGATGTAGGTACCCTTTATGATTTGATTTTTTGTAGTGGACATGGAAGAAAAAATGACTACAAATTGCACATGTAATTAGGACCTGTTTTCCATAATGTCATTTACTTAACCACTGTTTGTGCCCATTGGTAGAGTGAGGGGAAGTGAGTGTTTAGGGAAACATAATTGTAAGAGAACAAAACCAGGAGGAGGCAGTACTGCACAGTGGTTAGATGTCTGAAGCTAAATACAGCTGCACCACAGTCTGTTTAGCTTTGAGGACTTTGCTTCCTCTCTGAATTTTGTCTATGAACCATAGAACAATAAGAGTTCCGAACCACAGAGAGGATGCTTGTAAGGATGAAAGGCATGATACACACTAACCAACTGAGGAACTAAGTCCAGATCTTTCATAGGTAGCAAAGCCTTCTTATCTCTTCTGGCCTCTGTAGGCACTTGCATATTTGTAGCATGCACACACACGCACGCACACACACACACACACACACACACACAAGTAAATAAATCTTAATTAATAATTCCATAATAAAAAGTAAGAAAGATGATAAAAGTTCATCAGTTTGAAAAGAGAATATTATAAAAACAATGCATTATATTTTCTTCTTCACGGTTCTCTAGAAAATTCAGGCACATGTTGAATGCTGAGCCATTTCTTCAGAGTGCAGCATGAACATCTTTAATCTTGGCACCATGTGCAAGCATTAGATATGCACGTGGATTGGCTGTACCTGAGTGCTGTTTTTGTCGAGTCACAGAGAGATGCACTTGGCAGTAGCAGATTGGTTTCTAAGCAAAGCATCCATATTTTTACTTAAACACACTCCATGCTGTAAGTAGTTCAGAGGTGCTAATCTACCCTGCTGTTCTTGCATAAACTCCCTGCAACCTGTGAATGCCATCACTGCATCTCTTCCTTTTAACCAACTCCTAGCTCTACTTTTCACCATGTTTTGGACAGTGAAGTCAAGCTGGTTGGGTTTTAGAACATATACATGGAGAACATTCTGGGGTGAAGGTTCAATTGCTTGTGTAGAAGTCGCTATAGATAACTATTGCAATGGAGCTGAGTGGGGGGCACACTGAACTGAAGGCCTCGTGGGGATGCTGACCATAACTGTAGTTAAGGACAAGACCACAGTGTTCCCTGTAGGAAATTCTGCTCAGCTATGGAAAGGGGCAGAGCAGAGATGAGGCGTGTTTCCAGGTCCTTCCCATTGATGCTCACTATGTCTGTTTTCCTTTGCAGGGTGTATGCCATGTACAATTCCGTCAAGGGATCCTGCTCTGAGCCAGTTAGTTTCACCACCCACAGCTGCGCACCTGAGTGTCCCTTCCCTCCCAAGCTGGCACACAGGAGCAAAAGTTCTCTAACCTTGCAGTGGAAGGTGGGTAGCTCAACGTGCCAGGAATACTCTCAACTTAATAGGAAGGCATTCTCTGGCCATTTGAAATATTCCATTTTGTGATAGATTTTGGTTTTCTACATAATCAGAATTCTAAACTATCAAAAACTGTCATTTCAATAAAAGTCAGGCAGAGGGGGTGGAGGAAGGATTTGTAAGATCCATGTGAACACCTTCTCAGAGGAATTTGGTAAATCTATCAATGCTCTCTGTAAGTGATACAAATACTTAAAATACCTCAGTTTCATCACTTTCTAATAGTTTAGTTTATTTCCACAAATATTTGAAAACTTCATTATGAATTGAAAGATTTAGGTTTGAACTCTTCTGGCTGCTTCCTCGGTAAGGTGGAAACCTTAAATAGTTAAAACTTCACAGAAAGTATTGTGTTCCATACTCTATTAATACTTCATTAATTTTCACTAATTAGTCATTAGATCAATCAGGATTGCTATTTTTAACAGCCTGAATTATATAGTAGTTTTCATAAAATACAGTGTGCTGGCTAAAAATAACAATTGCCAAGCAAAGGCTCCTACTGTGCATACCTTCTTTAAAGTGTGTCATTAACCTGTTAGTCACAGTTGTGTGTTTGCAAGAAAATACATCATTATCATCCTTTGTCCTCCCTATTTCTATGCCTTGAGATCCTAAACTGCAGGGAAAAGTGTGTCAAATAGATAAGAAGATGGAGGTTTGTGGTTCCTGTGTGTGGAGGGGCGAGAGGGCCGGGGAGAGCAGGAGAGAGCATTGGGTGGGAGGTAGCGCTGCCATAGCCAGGCTGCTGTGGCCTCCGTGTGTGTAGCCGCGCTCAGTCAGTGGTGGACATTGACTGTGTTACTGGGACAAAGGCAAAGTTTAAACTGGCTTAGAATCTGAACTTTTTCATTTTCCTTCCTGGCTTCCAGGGATAATCCAGGTCAGTGATTTCCCACCTTTTCAGAGTTTTAACACCCAACTGGTCATCGTTGGTTGATTTCTTGGCAAATATATATCTACTTAAAAATATGTTCACTTATGCTTACATAAATCTATCTTCTAAGGAGAGAATTAAAATCTATTTCTTTTGAAAAAAAATAAGAAATCTTAAGATTACCAGAGGGACCCTGGGGTCTTATAAACTTAAAGTTGGGAATCACTGATACATCTGCTCTGTGCCTGGAGGACATTCAGGTCTCAGGAAAATCAGCAGCTTCAGGAGTGATCATTTGTGGGCCAGAAATATCCTCTTGTTCCATTCAGTCATGTGCACACACAGGAGAGTTCTGGATTCAGCTCAGCTTTCATTCAGATGTCACTGGTACAGATTCCTTTGGCCTGCACTCTGGGTAAAGGCATGCTCAGCAGATACTTCTGACTGCTAACTGTCCTTGACTCCACAAAGATACTGAGAGAACCAAAGACCTTCTAACATTCTATCGGTCAATAACAGTCACTGTTTACACAGGGATGAGGCAGAGGAAGACCTCAACCCAGAGAACCCACCCTAGTGATGGGGGAGCAGTGGGGACTCAGGATGTCACTGGGCAGTCTAGTGAAGAACACTTGGTACAAACATCTGTGAGCTGTGGTCAGTGTAGCTCTTCTTTTAGAACTTTAAATGCATTCCTACCCTTCCCTCCAGCCCAGACCCACCAAAGCTTAAGACTTAGTTCTCGGGCTAGAGAGATGGTTCAGTGGTTAAGAGCACTGGCTGTTCTTGTAGAGGACCCAGGTTCAATTCCCAGCATCCACATGAGGGCTAACAACTGTCTGTAACTCCACTTCCGGAAGAACCGATGCCTTCTTCTGTCCTCCACGGGCACTGCACGACATGGGTGCATTTACACACATGCAGGCAATACATTCATACTCATAAAATAAAAATAATAAATAAAATTTTTTAAAAAAACCTTAATTCTCAACTTACTGCACTCACCTGCAAACTGATTGACAGACTCAACAGAAAGAAGAAGGAAGGAAGGAAAAAGCAGGGACCTTTGGCATTTACAGAGCCTGATGTTTTATTATTAAGAATAATAAATAAGAGCTACTGTTCACTGAGGGCTTCTTACTAAGACTGGGTAGTTTAATGATTAATTTACATATAGTCTTCCAATTTTTTATCATATGTATTCATTCTTGGAACAAGAAATTGGATGTTGATATTAAACAGCTAGGATCAGACCATATATGACAGACTGCTAAGTTGGGGTTCAGATGTACTTGTGGGAACCTGGTTTCCATCTGTGAGGGCTCCATGTAGTTCACTGGGCTCACTCTGTCCCTAAGGAAGAACCAGACCCCAGCATGGTTTTGAGAAGAGACAGGCTCCTACTGTTTGCCTCTTTTTTCCTGTCTTTTAGAACTTCCCTGAGTGTTCTGGGGACCCCACTTGGCATCCCCTCTAATAGCTCTAGTTCTGTAAAGCAACCTTTTCTCCAAAGTTCCACATCCCTTGTTCATACCTGGTTGCTCAGTGAAGGCAGTCTCAGCTTTCTTTATGAACACTGCAGACTGATACGATGAAACATCCTTTGCCAACACATGATGAGCCTACTGTTAGTCTGTCCGGAAGACACCATTTCCTCCAGTTTTCAAAACGGGAAACAATGCCACAGCTGGCTTTTTAATCTTAAATACTCAAAGAAAGAAAAAAAGCAAAACAAGGGTATTAGTAAGGGAGAAGGGGGAAATGGGAGCACCTTAAGTGGGAAAACCATGATGGAGGGGTGAGACAATGCGAGAGGTAAACAATGCCTAGCTAGGTTTGAAAACCAGAGGGAACCATATTACTCCTACAACCTACTGACAAATTATACATAGCAGATCAAGAAATATATGTCTAGGTAAGGTTTATCTGAGAACAACTGGTCTTTGCCCAAGATTTATCTACATGACACACAGCAATTAAAAATACCAGACTGGTGGAACTAACCTTCTTGGATGTGTAACAGACATACCGAGGCCTATACTAATTTGGTTAGGGGGACATAAAGGACAGTTTTTGCTCCTTGCTCTCCTAGGTCGACTAGTTCCAGGGGACTATGAGCATCTCTCAAAATGTCCTGTAATGGTGGTGGGTCACCTGTCCTCTTGATCAAGGAGGCCAAGGAGACCCCACCAGATGGACTTGAACCAGTGTCCAGTCTACAAAGAGGAAGGTCAGCAAAGAGGAATCACTTCCTCCATGCTCCCAAGCAAAGGCAACCATGGTTGAGCAGGACCTTTGACTTATCTTCACATAGGTGGAACTGGTAAAAGAAAGGACCAGGGTCTCCTCCCAAGCCCATGTGACCCCTGAGGAACAAATCCTCAAATGACCTTAAGAGTAAAAACAAATTGGTTTATCTGGGCCAACTGCATGGCCTTAAACATCCAAAAGGAAAGTATAACCGAAGATTAAAGGGTC